AAAAAAAAACAAAAAGAAAACGAACTGTTTTTGAGGAAGAAAATCAAAAAATGAAAAAGCACCGCTAATTTGCTCGTTTAAGATCCAACAACGTTCTGTTAATATAAGCCACGGAAGCTTTTCATTTAAATTTCACAAAACTGTGAGAATTATGATAGAGGTTGTTTATTACTCCTGTGTTTCAGGGGTCTTTTACTTGTGGGAAATAAATTACAGATTAAGTGATGAAAAGTCAAAAATTACTCGTCTAATTGGCCGGTTAATGTGCTTGGCAACACTGTACCGGCAGTATCCTCTCGCAGTCCATAAACAACAAAGCGATTCGATGGAAATGCCTAGAAATGATTTGTGCTGATCACACATTTCCTTTGATATTACTAATTGAATGAACTGTGGTGCTTACTAGGTAGCCAGTGTCCTAAAGTGTTATGCTCCGTTTTGCGCATGCAAGTTAGGAAGGTGCCGACAGCTTTCCTCCTGGCCTTCCACATATCCGCAAGTGAAATGTATTGGGGCGCATGGAGACTAAATCTGTACGGAAACTATGCTCTCAAAATTTCACATTTTTGCATTGTTCGGTTCCGGAGTTATAAAACTGGACCCCACAATTTCCATAGTTATGAAGGGAAGCTTATTTAAAATTTCTGAGATCGCATATTGGTAGGCAATATCTTCCCGAACTTCCAGCTCATATGATATTCTGGTTGATTAGTGATCAACCCAAATATATATCTGAACACACATTGCAGCTCAAAACCCAAAGAAATTTTTACATTATCAGTTTTATTGAGTTAATAAACCTGAACAAAATTTACTACAGGTAAGCGGCTGAATTGATTGTTTTGCACCAGTATTTGTTATTTAAAGATGCACTAACCTTCTTGAAACCGGCTCGGAAGCAGTCCTCTGGAGTGTCGACGTAGGTGTCAAAGAGATTCCAAGAATGGGTATGTGGGCCGAGCAGCGCGATGCTAATGAGCAGCAACGACAACTGCCGTTGCTTCATTGCCAAAATTTATTATCGCGCTAAATTATTCAGAATTATCTAATTTATTTAAAAATGTTCGAAAAGCTGTGTGCCTAGAAACTGACTTCAACTGTTACATCGCCTGGTGTTGTAGTTTAAACTATTTTATGTATGAAAGGAACGCATTCTACTTTAAAAAAGCTGAACGATTGAAATATATATATTCAAAGAAGTGATCACGCGCGTCACTTCTCTCGCTCACCACTGTGGGCTAATAGTCTAACGACTGGAGGACTCTTGTACATCTGTGGTACGCAACCAAGGTCCTATTGCTAGGCTGTTTTGCTATAACATACCGCGTCTTCCCCTCAAATATGTAAATCTGAGAAGTATATTAGGGACGCATGAGGGTGTGTCCTAACTGTGGTGTTACGACATCGGAGGCGGAAGGTGCAAGCTATGGCTTCATTGGAAGGTGTGGAAGTCGTAATCTGTTCTACAGTGTTAGACTTTGACTGTGGGCTCAATTGTATGTGTGTTTGCGCTAGAATTGAGAATCTTCATGATAATTTAAAGTTCCATTTCCGGTACATTCTGTGCCGGCAATGTGTTTGTGTGCCTGGTGTTTCCATGCGCTAATAATAATATGATTGTACTAAGTGGTTTTTGACTATTCGTGGTGTCCTATAGCCGCCGATTTTGGCAATTACTCCAGAAGTTGTTGCAATCGTCAAACTGCAAGTCGAAGGTTGCACGCAGGTCAAAAGCTAGATGCTCTCCGCACGTTTCAAAGACCATCAGTACAAATACCGCTTCTTGCGCGTACAGGATTATACTCAGGGGGATAACTTGCTCTCGTAAGGTTCTCAGTAACGGTGAAATTGACCGCATATCGGTTTATCCTCAGCCGACGCTGAGATTCTAGTCTGATGACACGAGCGACACTCACCTCCATCACGAAAATCTTATTTGCGCTGTAACCGAAAACGAACATGTCTGGCCGTCGATGCTCCATAGGTGTTCTAGTTGCTAGCACTATTCCCCAGAGTAGTTTTGCCGAAGCATTCTTGGGCACGACTGGGGTCTCACTGGAATAATGAATTGGCGAAAATCCGTAGCACCGGCAGAGCAAGAATTAGGAGTTCCATGCTGTTACTTCTTCCGACATATAGATTAGACAGCCAGCGCAAACATGTTCTACCTATGTGTTCAGCTGCTTCAGGCTCCGACCCGCACATGCGGCATTGTCGGTAGGACCCATTTACACTGCGAGAGCTCGGTGTCTATTCCTGAGCATCTAACGCATTGCGAAAATTAACCACACTCAATCTTGCTTTTTTGATCCATGGGCTACTGAGCCTAACGCCGGTGCTAATATTCCCACGAGCAAAAGCACCCGTGTACGGCTGAATTTCCCATCCAGCTTTGCGCTGGCTGATGGCCTTCTCTCGAAGGCTGTCCGTCAGGGATTAGAGGAAGTCGGTAGGGCTTGTGAATACCCGATCATCAATATCTACGTTACCGGACCTGACATCTCAGTGGAACTCTATGCCTTCTTCTGAAGGGTCTTGTTTTTATTTGTAATAGGGCTCCTCTTTGTTCGATAAGCAAGCTGCTCCAAAAGAAATGCTGAAATCGCATGGACGGATGAATGGTGACGTAGACTCTGGTTGCCAGTAAGCTCTCTCGCAGGCAGTCCTCAAGCAACTCCGATCTACACCCACTTAGTTCTCGAGGGATATACAGCCAGCGACTGTACTCTTGCGACACCGGCATTTCTTATCCCTGAGGACATCGTGGATTCGCACGTCCAATTTCTGAGCGCGGTATATAGCCCCAGCTAATTTCTCTTTGTTGGTAGATGCAACACGTCCCAACCACCGCAATCGAACTATATGCATGGGTCACGTAGGACTGCCACCGAAAATAATTTCGGCTTTTGCAATCACAGCCTGTTCGAATCGCTCAATAACCTGAATCCGCCGCCAGTAGCCATTGCTCCAAGCCCAGATATTTGTTGGCTTTGGTGGAGGCCAAGATTGGTAGGTCTATCTTCGTCTTCACCCCCTTTAGAATCTGATTCTTACGCTGGAATTGTGCACTCTTTGCCACGTTGATGGTCATACCGGCCACCGTAGCTACCTTCTTAACAACTTCAATTTGGTGACCTAAATTCCTTGGACTCCTAGTACGTAATTTGAAGCCATCCATATAAAATTGATGTCCCAGGAGGAATTCATACCTCCCAAACCATCCCAAGAATGACTTCACCTGAGGAACTGAGTTGTTCAAGGCACGGCTGTAGTGATACTATCGAAAGGTCGGAGAAAAACTTTTTGGAAGATACCTCGAATGACCTTCAGTGTTAGACTCTAGATCAATCCTCCAGACGTTCTAAGTTCGAATTGCATGCTCCAGTAGCTAGGAGCTGCTGTATGATCAAAAAAAGCTGTTTCAAATGCAGATATACTCAAACATTATAAAGATTACAATAATTGGCCAACGCGCGGGCTATCCGTGCTATGATGCGTTTTTTGCATAGTTCCCCGCAGCTTTTATAGCTACCGGCATCGGCTTTTTCGGCAGTTCCTTCTAGCTAAACAAATTAAGACTAGCCGCCAAAACTGGCAGGAAACACCCCCTTAAAATTTCA